GTGGAAAGTTCTTTACGCAGAGGGTGGTGGGTGCCTGGAACGCGTTGCCAGCGGAGGTGATAGAGGCAGGCACGATAGCGTCATTTAAGATGTATCTAGACAGATACATGAATGGGCAGGGAGCAAAGGGATACAGCTCCTTGGAAAATAGGCGACAGGTTTAGATAGAGGATCTGGATCAGCGCAGGCTTGGAGGGCTGAAGGGCCTGTTCCTGTGCTGCAATTTTCTTTGTTCTTTGTTTTTTGATATGGGATGGGTGGGGGTGTAGGATATGGGGGTAGGCGTTGGGGGTTAGGATTTGGGGTGGGGGATAGGATATGGGGGTGGGGGCGTAGGATATGGGAGTGGGGGGGGAGGGGAGGGTGTGGGGAGGATGGGGAGGGGTTGGAATGGGTTGTGGGGCGATGGGGAGGGGACAGGGTGTTTCTCCATGTGTTTCATCTTCCTATCTTGTCTGCTCCCCCAGTATCCTCATGTCCTCTCCTCATTTATCTACCTCTTGTCACTCACCCCAACTCCTTGTCTCCCCCAATCTCCTCGTCCTCCTTCCCATTCCCACGTCTCCCTGGCAATCACCTCATTGCCCTCAGGTACTCCTTCCCCTCCCGTCCCCTCATCTCCCTCTTCCCACCCATCATCTGCTCCTGCCACCCCCCCTTGCCATGCCTTACCCTCCACTCCCCCACTGGATTACACCTTTCCCTCGTGTTTACCCACCTTATCTGGATCTACCCCACCCCCTCCTTGTCAACACACCCTCCTCCTCCTCCTCATCTGCCATCTCCTTTGTTCCTTTCCCCTTTTTCCCTCGTGTTCAGCAATAGATCACACCTTCCCTTCTTTTTGTGCCCACACTGTATCCACCGCACTCTGCACCCTGCACCCCCATCATCCTGTTCCCCTCATCCTACCCCTTCTACTTCTCTCTGCCTCTCTCCCTCAGTCTCTCTCACCACCCTCCATTTCCCTTTCTCTCTCCCTCCCCCTCCGTCTGCCTCCCCTCCCCAACCCTCCGTCTGCCACCCCCTCCCCCTCCGTCTGTCTGCCTCCCCCGCCCTTCTGTCTGCCTTCCGTCTGCCCTCCCCCCACCTTCCATCTGCCTCTCCCCCCCACCTTCCATCTACCTCTCCCCACCCCCCACTTCCGTCTGCCTCCCCCTCTCCCCACCCTCTTTCTCTTCCCCTTCCATCTCACACTTTCTCTCCCACGGTCTGTGCAGTTTCCACATTCTTCCCAGGTCTGCATGGGTTTCCTCTGGATGCTCCGGTTTCCTCCCACAGTGCAGGATAGAGTGGATTGGCCACATTAAATTGCCACGTTGTGTTCAAGGATGTGCAGGCTTGGTGGATTAGCCATGGGAAATGCAGGGTTACAGGGATAGGGTTTGTGTGGGATATTCTTTGGAGGGTTGGCTTGATGGCCTGCTTCCACACTATAGGGGTTTTATGGTCTCTCTCTCTCTCTCTCTCTCTCTCTCTCTCTCTCTTTCGCCCTACTGTTTCTGTCTGTCTCTCTCCCTCTCTCGGTCTCTTTCCATCTTTCTCTCTTTCTGTCTCCCTCACCGCCAAACTCCCAGTTCATTTCAGGTTCCCAAAGTTGCGAAGGATATTAGTTGGCATGACTGTTAAGAGTGGGTTTAAAAGCCAGCAGAGAGGATGTTAAAATGTTAGTAATTGATAAGACAGCGTGTGAGAGTAAACTGGCTCTGAAAACAGAAATACATTCTCCGAGCCAGAAGGAAGAGAGTGGCTAAAGTAAACCTCGGTCCTCTCGGTACGAGGGGCCGGGAGATGTGACAAAGGGCATTTTCACCTAGAGGGTGGTGGGAACTCGCTGCCTACTTAGATGGGCAGGGTATGATCAGGCATGTGTGGATGTATGAAACGGAAATGGTGTGTTTTTCAAGGCTGTAACTTGGAGGGTAGATCGGGGGAATAGCAGATGTGGTAAATCCCAATTTCCATCAGGCATTAAATAAGGTGCCACAGGCAAGATACGGGCTCGGGGAATTGGAATGACATATTAGCTTGAATGGAGGATTGATTAATGAAAGAAAGCAGAGAGCTGTGACAAATGGGATGTTCTGACCATTGGAGTGTTGCAAAACACTGTGCGGATGCCTGAGTTATGTACAATACATTAATAACATAAACATGGAGACCAGGAGTGATGTATCTAAGTTTACTGATGATACAAAGCTACGTGTGAATGCAAGAAGGACACAAAGAGGTTGCAAAGTGAAATCAACTGGTTAAAAGGGTGGGTAAAAAGCTGGCAGATGCAGTGTAATGTCAACAGGTGTGAGATTATTTGGCCTTAGAAAAGCAGCATTTTTGTTTTAAAAGAGACTGAAACTTGTAACCATTTGGAGCACAGCCCCATAATTCTTCATCCTGCTAGTCATTAGAAATCTATCAAACTCTACCTTAAAAACTGAGCTTCCACAGCGGTCTGTGCAAGAGAAATCCAAAGGATCGCAACCATCTGAATGAAATAATTCCTCCTCATTTCACTCCTAAGTGGCTTCCCCTAAACAGCAACAACTTTGTCAATCTTATCTGACCGTCCTAATCCTGTTCACACCCCCTCTCCCAATCAAATCTCCTCTCCTTCTCCAAGAATAATACCCTCCTACAGGGGGTGGGGGGGTCCCAACCCCATCCTAGACCTGACCCTGATGCTCAAACCCCCTCATCCCACATCCCATTCTGGTGAATTCTTCGTTTGATGACCCTCATGTCCTTCCCTAAAATGTGGCGACCGGAAATAGATGCAGTGCTGTAGAGTCATACAGCATGGAAATAGACTCCTCACTCCAACTCATCGATGCTAATCGGGTTTCCCAAACTGAACTGGTCACATTTCCCTGTGTTCAGCCCATATCCCTTGAAACCCTTCCTATCCGTGTACCTGTCCAAATGTCTTTTAAATGTTGTAACTGTACCTGTGTCTACCACTTCCATTCCATTTATGCACCACTGTCTGTGTGAAAACATTGACCTTCAGGTCCCTTTTAAATCTTTCTCCTCTCACTTTAAACCTGTGCCCTCTAGTTTCGAACTCCCTCACCCTAGGGAAAAGACCTTGGCTATTCAAAATAAAAACTGAAAGAACTGTGGATGCTGGAAACCAGAAACAAAAACAGAAATTGCTGGAGAAGCTCAGCAGGTCTGGCAGCGTATGTGGATAGAAATCAGGGTTAACATTTCAGGTCCAGTGACCCTTCCTCAGAACTGATGATAGCTAGGTAAAAATTGCTTATTCTGCAGAACATAGTATGGGGGGAGAGGGTAAGGAGCAAATGATAGGTGGAGATAGAACCCAAAGGGAGAGAACAGTTGGACAGACAAAGGAGTGGATAACGTTCTGGCTCAAGAGGGTGAAAAGCTATTAATGGAGACAATTAGTGGCTAACAATGCGTTGTGTATAAAGCAGACCATGTGATAACAAGAGATAACACAGTATGGAGCTGGATGAACACAGCAGGTCAGGCAGCATCAGAGGAGCAGGAAAGCTGACGTTTTGGGTTGGGAACCTTCTACAGAGATGTTGGCCAGACACCATGGTGGTGTGTTGAAGTGGAAGGCAGCTGGAAGCTCAGGGTCTTTTTTCCGGGCAGAATGTAGGTTTTCTGCAAGTAGTCACCTTTACTATTCACCTTATCTGTGCCTCTCATGATTTTATAAACCTCTATAAGGTCACCCCTCAACCTCCTATGCTCTAGGGGAGAAAAAGTCCCAGGCTATCCAGCCCTTCCCCATAACTCAAATCCTCCAATCCCAGTAACATCCTTGTAAGTCTTTTCTGTACCCTTTCCAATTTAATAGCTAAAACCATTTCTGAATGTACAGTTGCCTCTGCGATCTCCACTTTTACTGACAGTTTGTCAGACTCCTCTTTCTATAAAAATGCCCAGACAGAAAGAGAGTTGGGGCAAAAGATCAGCCTGAATGGCAGAGCAGACTCGAGCTGAAGGAGCCTACTTCTCATCCACATAGCATGTAGGTCAGACAGGATAAATGCAGGAAGGATGTTCCTGCAAATATGGGTGGGGGGAGTCCAGAACTGGGGGTGGGGGTCACAGTCGAAAGGAGACTAGGTAGGACTGAGATGAGGAGAAATGTCTTCACCCAGAGAGTGGGGAGCCTGTAGAATTCACTGCCAAAGAGACCTGACTAGGCTTTTAATTGCCTTAAAGTTTCCTGGGTAACTCTTAAGTTATCGGAAGCTGAACCCTCTTGAATTTTCCAAGATTAAGGGCTGTTCTCGGAGGGCATGTGCCCTGGTGTAATTGTCCTTCAGTCTTCAATTTCTGTTGCGTCTGGGATTCTGCAGGTCCTAATACTCCTCTTTGGTCTGCAGTAACTCTCTGACCATTAGTTGAAGCAAGGGAGACATGAGAGGAAATGTTACCACGCAGCGACAGACTAGGATCGGGAATGTGCTGCCTGAGATGCAGCTTCGATGGAGGCATTTGAGATGGAATTGGATTATAATCTGAAAAGGGAGAGTGCGCAGGTTCATGGGGGTGAAGACAGGAACGGCTAACTCAGACTTGATGGGCTGAATGGCCACCTTGCGTGCTGTAAACGTTCTGACCTGTGGTTCCTCTCTCTCTCTCTCTCCGCACCATCCCCAGTGAACGTGGTGGAGGCCCTGCAGGAGTTCTGGCAGATGAAGCACAGCCGAGGGGCAGAGCTGAGGAACGGCGCCCTGGTGGTGTATGAGATGGTGCCCTCCAGCAGCCCCCCGTACGTCTGCTACGTCACCCTGCCAGGGGGCAGCTGCTTCGGTAGTTTCCAGGTATGGCGCCCGCTTACTGTGCCAAGCGATGTGAGCCTGCGCTGTGAGCCCCGATGAGTGCCTCCGGCCAGAAGGAGAGCCGGCGGCCTCGGTGCCAACTTGGCGGTGGCGCTGCCGGGTGCCAGCTGTGCCGCACGTCACCTGCTTGCTGTTCGGTGTTGTAAAAGTTTGTTTCGGATTCTCGCAGCTGTGCCAGACCAAGGCGGAGGGCAGACGCAGTGCGGCCAAGATTGCCCTGATGAATTCTGTCTTCAACGAGCACCCATCGCGCAGGATCAACGACAGCTTCATCGAGAAGAGTGTGTCCGAGGCCCTGGCTTCCTTCAAAGTGAGTACTGCAGTGTTGTCTGGGGTGGGGAGGGGGGGAGGTTTGCTGCTGCTGGGATGGTGAAAGATGGAAGGGCCACTCTGCCCATCTGCCTGAAAACCCTCCCTGGAACACTGCACTGGGTCATGGAGTTAAGCTGCCTCATTACTGCAATCCACGGTTGGCTAGGGAAAGGAGGAATCCCGAGAGCTTCACGCGGGTGGCGAATCCAATCATCACCCAGCAGGAAGGGGCTACTCAGCCGATCGTGTCTGTACAAGGTCCAATGGAGGGCCCCCTCTGTCCCCCACTCAGACCTGCAGCATTGACCCCCGTTGGAAATGCACCGATTTGATGATCTGGCCCTTAAGGAGGCTCAGTTGATCCTGATTGTAACTCGCAGAGTTTGAGACTCGGTCTCCACAACCACCCTCTGTTTCTGACCTTTCCACAGGGGAACAAGGACGAGGCTGACATTTCCAATACTGGCATTGGAGCCTTCCGATTCATGCTGGAGTCCAACAGAGGGAAGTCCATGCTGGAATTTCAGGTAAAGCTGGGGCTTGGGAGAGGGGCAGAGAGG